GCAATATAACATGGTGTATAATTTATAGATTGATAAACAATTCCAATATGTAAATCTCTGTTGTTTCAAAAATGGCTTTAAAGTGCTCATACTGTTTCTCCATCCCACCCTGCTTGGAGTATTTCAGTTATCCATTTCTCATTTTGATAAAGAGTCTGTGAACGTTGAAAGGTAAGGTATTATAGGCACTCCGTAATGTACGTACGCATGTGTGTGTGTGTGTGTGGTGTGCAAGCTCACACATGCATGTATGCACTTGGAATACTGTTCTGAAGTCCTGATTTCATATGTCGACAACTGTGCAAAAACAACAGTACGTAAAGATCTTACACTAATAAGTATGAAACCTGCAGGAAGTTTTACCCTTTCTCAGAAATGAACATCACCCATCCAGGAATTTTCATCCCCCCGCTACCACCATTGAAAATTGGTGTTTTTCAAACAGAGTTGGTGTTAACCAACTATGTTCTTTCTGCAAGCCCTATAACCAGCCTTCTTAAGGGCATTTGTGCAGTGAAATTGATTAGATAAGGTAAGACAATGATTACTATACAAGTCTTATTAGAACCTGTTATATTTTGGTTTGTTCAGGTTGTAGCATCCTTTATTAGATGGAAAAGTGGATCTTAGTATATTTGTTCCCGTCTCTTTTATCTTCTTCCAGTTGCATAGCTCAACAAGACCACCACAGGCTGAAGCATATTAGATATGGGTTGAAAAGACTAGAAAAAGCACTGGTGTTAACCAGGCCTATGCATCCCCTGGTGTTGCTCCTCATTGCTCAACAAAATGGTTTCCATGACGATCCCTTTTATGAGTAATCACATCATTTAGCCACTAGGTGGTGGTGGTAATGCTGGATAAGCTGTTAAAACAAAAAAGATCCACCCCACTGGGCTGGAAGCTCCACCCTAACTCCACATAGGTCAGGAGGAATATTACCTTATTGCTCAGTCTTCGGGAGGATGTCAGAGAGGTGACACTGGTATTATTTAGGAGCGTATGTGGGACTAATGTCCTTGCTATATTGGCTTTGGGTCTCTAACAGCCTAGAACGCTGAGGCTCAACATTTGTCAGTCTTCAGGTATTGATAAGGCTGATTGCTGCTGCCACCACCATTTCAGGGAATTAAGAGACCACCTACTCTGCTTTCCCATTCTCTGTCTGTCTGCCAAGCATGGCTAGGCCAGGACCATTTTCTTTGCATTGACTGACCCAAGAGAGCAACGCATTGAGGTGGAGCTGGAAATACCCGCCTTAATAGTCTTGCGGGTGATCTCCAAATCCTGCAGTTGCCACTGAATGCTGGCCTTTGGGCAGTTCTTTTTGCTTTTATACTTGGCAGCTAACAGGTGCCATGTCTGTGGTCAGGAAAGAAAAGTGTCATCCTGGCTCCTAAAGACCTTCCAAAGTAATCAGTGAAAAGTGGAAGAGGTCTGGAACAGAGAAGAAAGAGAGTGAGATGTGAATATATTCAAAAGAAATGGTACTGGGAGCTGAACCCATGGAGGACAGAAAGTCAATGGCTGGAGGGGATGCAGAAGCGCCTGAGCAGAAAAATTGAGCCTCAGAGGAAGCGACAGAGTGGAGCAGAGCAAAGGGAAGGCAGAGGAGTGGTGATGGAGCAGGAAAGAGGGCAGGGAGAGCGGCCCTCAGCCAAGAAGGAAAGGTGAAACGTAAGAACAGGTCTGAGACACTGTGGAAGCTACTGTCCTAATGACAGTAACACTTTTGGTGCAATTAATTGTGGCTTAGGGTCAGTTATCTGTATCTGCACTCTGTAGTTAAACTTGTTAATTCATAATGTTGTATTCACTGAATATCCTAAGATCATATATATTTAATTGACTCCTGCTTATCTGCTCCTCATTCTCATAAAACCTGAAGTTACTGTAGTTGTGGATGTCTCATTCTTACCCAGATGATCTGGGAGTCCCCTAGGAAGTAAAACTCTTCTGTTGTCATTGTGACACACACCTGAGTAATTACACAATTGTAGCTGCAGTCCTAAAAGCCATTATTTTGCACCAGTGGGCCTCACATCTCAGTAAAGGTGCAAGGAATGGGCTGCAAATAGCAGCAGAATTTCAGTATAAAGAGCAACCTCATCTCTCTTTCTCTCTGTCTCTCATTATTGACTATGATCATTGAAACAAGAATTTGCATTTCATAGAAGCATGAGAACAATAGAAGGAAAATGTCTGCAATTCTTAATTTGGGGTGAGCTGAAACTTTCCAAATCACAGCCTGGTCTGTAAAACCCAGAGAGGATAATGGTGAAGTTAATGAAATCCTTGGGCTTTAAAAAGAAGATTAATTTCATGGAACAATTCTTGAAACTTGCCTTTAATTTTGAATGTTAGACATGCAGCATGTTCATTTAAAATGACAGGATAATCTGATTCCTGACATGAATAATAGGCCTATTTTACACAGATCTGTTAAGTGATAACGTTAATCTGCACTAAGCCATTGCTAGTATATTGATGGAACTCTTTTCTCTGAAAGTGTCCCTTTACCCTGCAAACTCTCGCTTACATCTAAGACCTATTTCCTCAGTTGGAATGGGCTTTTGGCGAACAGAACTCTTGCCTTTAACTTAAGTCACCTCTGCTAATGGCAGTGAAGTAGCCATGGAACAAGGCCTGCATGAAGCCAGCAGGGGCATGGCTGTCTCTAATTTAATCAGGTATCAGAGTTTCAGAAAACAGGCAGGGCCAGAAAGTCTTGCTCACTTTAAGTCAGCCATCTGTGCAAAGGCTCTCAGGGCTTGCTCGTCATACCAAATGCAATACAATCTAGTTTAAAGCAGGGATGTCAGCTGCTCCTAGCTGAAGGGCCACATGCAAGTTCAGAGAATCTGTGGCATTCCACTGGTGGGCGGGCCAAAGGCAAAGGGAGCAGATCTAGAATGCTCTCTTTTTTTTAGCCTGCAGCGTGTAGAGCCATTAACTAAGCCCTAAGAGAGGTGTTTCAGCATTCCAGAATGGGAGACAAAACTGCATAAAATCCTGGAAACCTCTAAAGGATTGGTTGTTGAGGGAAAGGGGTGGGGTCAGGTGAAGGAGCAGAGCCAGCTGGGAAACTGCACTGGGCTGGATTTGTCCCCCAACCTGAGAGACTGAATTCACTCTATCCCATAGAATTTGTAATTAATTTAACTGAAGCATATAGTCTTGAACCAGGAATAGTTCATCTTGTCTATACTCTACTGGAATCAATGGGAGAAGGGAGGTATTACTAATATGACCCCAATGGGACTGAAGTGTGACTCCACCCTAGGGCAGATGCAAAATGGTCTTAGTGCAACTTTTCTTGGGAAGGTGCAGGGCTTCTGCTGAGTTCTCGAGTCAACAGAAAGCACATGGAGGCATCTCGTGTGCAACTGCACCGCCACATGGAGATCCACATGATCCCCCCATGACCTGTGCAAGTGCAATAACTGCTTTTGAAGTCTCCATGAGGGTTGCATCGCAGCAGCCATGCCTCTAGCCCGTGTATGAGAATGCCTGTCCATACAAAGTGCTGTATAGAAGCCATGCTCAGCTGTCAAACAAGCAGGAGCCACGTGTGTGCTTGCAAGCGATTATGTGGGTGCCAATCAGGATCCCCTCAGAGAAACTTACACAGATGTAAATGGGCTGCAAATGTTACCGGTTTGATATTTATGACTTTGATTGCCAATTTTATAAGCAACACCTATGATTACTTGGAGCTGGACCGCTTTCATATATTCCAGTTCCTTGAGATTTTTAAATAGAAGATTCTGCTTCAGATGCTAACTATTTCTGGGATTAAATCAGCTGTAGCAGGCGTGGATGGAAGGAAAACTGATCTACAGGCAGATGTCTGGGTGATTGTCAAGCAAGCACTTTGGATTCCCAAATGTTTAACAATAAAAAGGCTCACGCACAATCTCTCTCCCAAGTTAGGTTAGTGAATTGAAGACAGTTTGGGAGGAAAACGGAGTAGATTTTGTTCTAGTTCTGACATTTCTGGCCGTGAGCACATGCTCTGTCCTATCTTGTTCCCTTCTTTCTGAGTATCTTCATCTCTATGATACTATTCTGTACCAGGCTCTATTCAACAGACCTGGGAATTCTCATTTAAAAAAAAAAAAAAAAACCCAAGTACACCCCATAAGCCTGTAGCCTGCATACTCAAGAGCTAGGAAATGAGGAAGGCCTTTTCTTCAGTGGCCCTATTATTGTGGATCTCTCTCTCCTACTACTCTCTCTATGGAAGCATTCCTGAATTTGACCCTAAAATGTTTAATTTTGTATCCAGCTTCTTTTTGACTGGCAGGAATATTTCCTGAGTGGAGTTCTGATCAGACTGCTGCTACCTACAGAAAAGAAATTTGGGAAGATGATCTTTGCTTATTCCTCCTCCCTTTATAGCCTCCAGTGAACCCCCTCCTACTGTTTTGGAAGGTCCCCCAATCTTCCAGAAAAGAATATTTTGGAGGCATCCTGGGCACTGCAGAGAGAAAGAGGAATCAATACAGATTCATAACCCTAACCCTAACCCTTCCACCATCAGTGGAAATAATCTACTGCATTGGAAGAAGGAGTCCTTCACTTCACAAAAGGTTGGCTGTGCCAACATCTTGCATATGAGACTTGTAGTTTTAATTGTGGCACATTATTGATGTTTTAAAAATTCTTCTAAATATTGTGACTACCTATCATTATTTAAATAAGCAACTTAATGTTGAGCTGCCTTCTACTCTGTGCAAGGACTTTCTGTACAATCAGCCCCAGATGACTCAGGTAAACAAAGCAAGAAACATGCTATTGAAGAAGGGAAAAATGTCTTACATGGTCCAAAAAACAGCATGACCAAAACCCATTTACAAAGGAAAATTATCCTGAGACACCACTCTAGACAATTGACATCCTGGCTCTGCTGCTGATTCCTTTGTGTAGTATGCCACATATACTGCATGTGGTAGTATATTTTATTGATCATTTCGCTAATGCTTCACTTCTTATTACAGGGTTTGAATCCATCCTGAATTAGCATAAGAACAAGGGCATCCCCACCTTACCATCTTCAGCCAATATGAAACTTACCTGATCTTGTAATGATAGAGTGGAAAAAGCTGGGACGCTCTTTGCCCATTTGATACTCATGAAGAGAAGCCTTGCTGCAGACTCACAAACTGATTCAGTAGCCACTTCGTAAAGGTACATGGGCGTACCGCTGACTTCATGTGGATACTAAATATTAAAGAGGTTTTATTAAAAGTACATATTTTGGGAAATAATCAGCATGATCTTATGACTGGCTTAGAGATGCCACTTTTAATGACTTGCTTTGTTATATAATCCATTTTTTATGAAGAAAAGTAATATTAAAATGGGGAGAACACAAAATGGGAGATGGTGAGACTAAGGGTGCCATCCTATGCACACTCTGAAGAAAAGAGGCCTGCAACTCTCAGCATTCTCCTGCTTACATGATGGACTGACAGGAAATACTCAGAGTTGCAGTTTGCACAGGAATACCCTGTTAAGGAGTCAGTGCTTATATAAGGATCTTAAGATCTCCCTAAAGGGGAAACTATTATTCATTAATATATTTTATTATAATAATACTTATAATAAATATTTAAATAACTGGCAGCTTTATTTTGACAGAAAGGTCAATGCGTATTTACATTTGGCTTGGGTGATAAGACAATATTAGAATATTATAGAATATAATATTAGATTAGAATACTAGGATATTAGGCACATGGAAGAATGTCCTATTCAGGAAGCTCAGTCTCATGAACCACTGTGCAAATAAACAGTTTTTTAAAATGAAGCACACTGGGTTGAATCCAAGCTTTAACTCCCATGAATTGAGGGCTTCTTATTTTCATGGATGCTTGTAATCTAGCAGAGGAATCCTGGAAGAATGGAGGAGGTGTGATTTTGTTGATTCCTCCACCCCGCGCACACACACACACACCACATATACTTATTAAAATGTGAGTTATCAGGTTGTCTGAATCCAGTGAACAAACCATGGTGGACAACCCACCGTTCATAACCTAACAACCAACCATGGATTCTCTTCATGGGTTGTTTCCAGTTACCAAGCCATGGTTTGTCAGTACAGCAGGATTCAGAAAACATAATTATCTATGTTTCAACAACAATCCACACTTGACCCATACTCAATCCTCAAAGGTGGGTTATGTTGCCTGAACCCAGTTAAAGCCTTGCTAGTTAACATATAGGCAACTGGTGTATGAGAGGACAGTGAGGGCTTCTCCCCTTTCCCCCAAGACGGCTGGAGTAGTTGCCTGCTGACTCTTCAAGCATCCTTTCCCAACCTTGGCCCCCAGACATTATTAGATCGTTACAACTCCTATCATCCAGCACAGAGAAGGTGGAAGTTGTACTTCAACCACATCTGGGGACCCATGATTAGGAAAGCCTGACAGGTTTCCCTACTTGCTTCAGCTAATCATTCATTTGAAGGAATTATTTGAGGTCATGATATAGGGAAGCTCAGCTTACAAGACCTCTTTTAGTACTTTCCATGATATTGTAATGCATGGAGTTGCACTGATGTTATGTCTCAGTCATGACACAATTAGAGAAGGGTTGTTGATTCTGCTGTGCTTGGACTGACTCCCAGCTCTAAGTCTGGTGAAGCAGCAGGATGCAAAAACATTTCCTCTATACTAGTGCAGTCGGAGTAAACTTTGAAATTGAGTAACTCATAATGACAACACCCATAACCATTCCCCCAAATACAGGCAGCTGGTTTGATCCATTATATATCTGTATTTCTGTCTGTGTGCACACCCTTCCAAAAAAGAGCCTAACACCCAGTTCATTTGGATCAGGTGAAAAAACTGTTGGTGCACCACGACTCCATTGCTGGGTGGAGATGGAGTATGACAGCAGTATGACAGCCGTGGTGCCCAGACTGTGGAATGCACTCCCTAGAGAGGTTTGCCTGGCACAGAGCCTATATTCTTTTCATCGCCAGGTCAAAACGCTTTTTATTCAAGCGTTATTTTAAAAATTAGCATTTTAATGGTTTTAACAGTTGCTTTTGATTTGATTTTTTGGTTATTATATTGTGGTATTGATTGTTTTTATTGGATTTTGATTTTAATGTTGTAAGCCATCCTGAGATGTTATACATGAAGGACAGCATGTACATGTTTTAAATAAATAAAATTACATAAATAAAAGTATGGAACCCAACTATATGCCATCCTAAATGCATTTGGGTCACTTCAGAACCATCTAGAGCAGGGGTCTCAAGCTCAACTTACCTGGGGGCCGCTGGAAATAGCGTCTGGGTGAGGCTGGGCCGCAGCAAGTATTCCACCACGGCGGTGGTGGTGGGCCGCTCATCCCGCGTGGCTCCCGCAGGCCGGCCCGGGTGCCACAGGCGCTTTGAAGGCCGCAGGGCCCCTCCCCCGTGCCCCGCCCGTCCGGCACTTGGCCCGCGGGCCGCCAGTTTGAGACCCCTGGTCTAAAGCAACACAGTGTTGAACAACTAACACCAGTAGTTGTAAGCGTGCATGCATAACAAAGGTGGCTTAGTTAGCAGGGTATGACCAGATTGCTCCTACACAGAAAGTCATGTATGTGAACCAGTTAATCATTACAATAATGTGTAAAATGTAGAGCTGTAAGTAAATCACTTTCCAGTCATTTAGTTTGCAACCACTGATAGATTTACTAGGAAGTAAACCCCACAGAACACAGTGCATGTGTGAGCCATGCTGCCAGAGACCATTGACCCCAGTGCAAATATTTATGTCACAAATAAGGATCATTTTCATTAATTTATTCAGGTGACTAATTACAGCACAATCCACACACAGAGGGGAAAGAGATGGAGGGAAGATTCCACTTGGGAAAGCCCTCATTCTATTTCAAAATTGTAAAGTCTGATTGCTTTTTTTGATGTCCCTCAGCATATTTTTTGCATTTCCCAGAATCACTTAAAAAACAAAACAAAAACTCAGAGCTGACCTTTGGAGTTGGCTGAGCCAAGCCCACCAAGCTTTGCCTTTCAGATGCGGTAGAAACAGCAGCCAGTTCGAGATTATGAGGTTCCAGCTGTGTAACAGCAGTGAAGAAAGCTGGGGCAGGTAGAGCTGCAGAGGGGAAGTGTGGCGTGGCCCCATTATCTTCCTTGTGTCCTCTGAAATACAGAGCAACTTGTTTTCTTATTGTAGATGTCCTTGGTCCCCTTTCATGTTGAACAGCTGGGAATAAAAACCCTGTATTAGCATGCTACCTGGAGCTAGGGAAAAAACCCTTTTGAAGCACAGAAGCAGTTCACTGGATTAATTAGCTATACAATAATACATTTCTAATCATAACTACATTAAAACATGCAGTCCACCATTTACAAGCACTAACACTTCACCATTTGCTGAACTGTTGTGATGCCATGAAATGTGCACGGATATTTCAAATGTTTTCCTTTTGAGAGGAAAGGCTTCATCAATCGAATTTTAATACATGGTACAAGTGAAACTCACTGGAGACGACAGTCATGCTAGGGAGAGTCAAAGGCAGAAAATGAAAAGGAGGACCAAAAGAGAGATGGATTGACCATCAAGGAAGCCACGGCCTTGAATGTAGAACAGCTAAGCAGGGCTGTCATGGAGTGGACATTCAGGTGAGCTTTCATTCACAGGGTCACCATAGGATGACATGACCACACATAACCACACAAGTGAAATATTAATTTGTTTAGGGGGTTGACACATAAGAACCAGGAGGAGTCTGTGTTGGTAGTGGAAGGGATAATCAAATGAACTGTGCATTACAGGATCAGCAAGAGCAGCAAGCATGTTTCGGAGTGGGGTTGGAGCTGAATTTTACATGTCAGAGTGAACAAGCATGACAAATCACCAGTTTCAATCTCCAAAGATATTTAACTGAGTTTAATTATGTATGTGGCTTGATTCAAATACTCAATGGGGTAAGATGCAGAAAAAGATAGACAACACTTCCTGCTTAGAAGATTGGATAATGGACTAATTAAGCAGTCTCACCAGCCTCAAGAGAAATTAACATTATTTAAATATAAGCAAGACACAACTAGAAAATCACAAAATGGTCAGCTCTCCATTTTCAGTGGCATTATTCCAAAAGATCTTGTTTATTATAATGTATATATAAAAGCAGGAAATCCATTATTTCTTTATCTGCTGTTCAAATTAGTTGCCTGGCATGTGGAAGAATAAAACATGAAATTTCTGACGTGGAGATATCTGCAAAACGCAGTGTAGGTCATGATGTCTAACAAGTTCAGAAAAGCAGCATTCAATTAGCACAATCATTTTACGCTGGAGGAATATGCACTTTCATTTACACCAATGTTTCAAAAATGAGGAACACACTGGATGATGCCCCTCTGCATACACATGTGCAGCTTATGCAGGGCTTCAACATGCACTTTACTCCACAGTGTTGGTGGGTACTTTTTTGGTTGCAATTACCACTATGTAATTACCATAGTGAATTACCACTACATGTAACAGATAATGGTAATGCATTCCCCTTGTGGAGGGGCTACCAGTTTCCTAGGTATGGGAAATATAGTTTAGCCATATCTGATTGTTTTGGCTTGCAGTGTGCACATTGGCCAAGACTGGGGCCCGTCAGTTGTGACTAGATCAAAACAGATGAAAGGTGCAATGACTGACTTCCACCACTAGGGAACTGATGCTGCTTGACTTTTTCCTCTTCGCCTTTTCCCTTCTTCCTTTCCACAACTCCGGGCTCCTCTACAAACTCTCCCTTCTCCCTGTGCTGGGTCTTGCAGAAATGTTAACACTCAAGGCAAGAAACAAACTTCATTGGGTTCTGGGAGAAAATGAGGGCAAGAGAATGAGACTGATGCTAGCAAGGTGATGGGGTGGGTGTTCCAGTTGACTGAAGGAGTGAGGAAGAAACATAGAAACAGAGCGAGTCAGAAGGGGCCTCCCGGGCCATCTAGTCTGACCTCCGGCACCAGCCAGCTCCACTGCACAGCACAGCACAGCTAGCTTCTTACACTGGCACTAATTATCTTGCTTTATTTTCCAGTGGAAGAGGGCAGCAGCCATGGACCATCTTGTGCTTAACCTCAAAGGAGCGCCCATAATAAGAACCAGTGTAGTGCACTGGTTAAGAGCACTGCACTGGGGTTTGGGAGGTCCAAATTCTACTCCCCACACAGCCATGACACTTGCTGGGTGCCTTTAGGCCAAACACGGACTTTCAGCCTCACCTACCTAACAGGGCTGTTGTGAGGATTAAATGGTGGGGAAAATTATGCATGTGAGCTGGGCTCCTTAGAAGAAAAGTCTGGATTAAAATAAAATGACAAAACAAGTTTGTCCTACCTGGACCTACCTTGAAAGTAGGCCCTGCTTCTGCCAGTCTTCACCAACTGTTCCTTTACGGATATGTTGGCTTCCCTACGTGCAATGACATGACGTAGGGAGCAGATCTATATAGGCAAAAGGCAGATCTTCTGATGTTTTTGTTCCCCACGACAGGTAGCAGAATCCGATGCCTGCCTGCCCTTGTACACACACATGCACACACATCCAGTGTGTGGCCGTTGTTCGCTCAATGGGGCAGCTGTATTTACATGATCAGGCTGTGTTTTGGAAGCCTGCTGAGAGCTACAAAGAAATCAAACTGTTTTATGGATGCAGATGGACAAGTTGAATTTGTGCCCTGCTGACAGAATGGCTGTTTTGGATTTGGGGGACTTATCAATGTAAGAAAACGGGAGGGTTTTCTTTAGGGGCACAGATGATAGTAGTGAGTTAATGTCAATGGTTAAAGAAAAAGCTTTTGTTCATCTTCTAATGTATATCTTTACTGACATACTTCAGTACTCATCTGTTGTAGGTCTTGTACGATCTCATTCATACCTACTCAGAAGAAAGTCCCACCTAGTTTGATGGGTCTCACACCCAGGGAAATGTAGGCAGGAGTGCAGCCTGAATATATTATCTAAAAGAGGCACTTTCCTTGTGTTGGATCCACATTTAGTAAGGGGATATAACTTAGTCATGACTCTTACCGATTTCAATAGGTCTACTACAATTAAAACTGGATCAGTCCTGTGTGGTCCAAATGAGATTATTGGAGAAAGCTACTTGTAAAGCTGCAAATCTGAAATGTATTTAATTGAAGAGGTCTACTTTTATACAGTTAATGCTGCCAGTGGAAAGAAATGTGGGGGAAAACAATAGTTGTTGGTAGGAATCCTAAGGGAAGGGACATTATTCTGAGTTGGGGTTTTCGCAATCATTGTATAGGCTTGCTGACCACTTGTTCCTGGGGCTCGGGGAAAAGGGCAGAAGGATGCACAAGTACCGTCTTTATTCATGTTGACTTCCAAGCATTTCTTCAGGCGACATGCCCTGCATTGGTTCCTATGTGTCTTGTCCACTGGGCAGCCTCCCTACAAAAGAGATATATTCTTGTCATGAAAGGAGGGACAAAAAAGTATCTCTCTCACCAAGAGTGTTCAGGAACAGGAAAGTGGCTAATTATCCTACTAAGAAGGTAATACTGTTCTCCCCTCTGGATTAATTCCCCATTCAGTTTATGATGAACCTATTTCAGATTTCTCCCAGAAAAAGGAATGGGATGCCCTTGGTTATTCTAGAGCTACCCTCCCCAAACAGGCGCCCTCCAGAAGCTTTGGAGTACAGCTCCTGGCATTCTTGACCACTGGCCATGTCAGTTGGGACTGGTGGAAGCTGAAGGCTAACAGACTGGGGAAGGGGGCTCTGGAGAAACTCTGGATGGTCTTCAGCACCCGAGACAGCTGCCTGCTCCACAGGCACATGATCAATCGTTAGAGGATTTCTGACACCAGGACAGTGACCTCTCGGGGAATGGTGCGTGGTCCCCCATCCCGCGGCATTCTCATGAAAGCCCTTCTGCTTGTTTGCCCCACACTAGACAGTTCTCCCCCTCATCCTTGGGGTCCTCCAGCCTTGTGTGATGCAGGTTTCATGAACTGCATGCATCCGGTCGCTCTCATGGATTCAGT